GAATGTGGACATTAATATGTATTGAGCCAAGTGAGCATGACTTGACTCTTAATTCATTTACTCTTTTAACAGCCATGTGACCAAAGTGGGGACATCCTAATTTAATGGGTTAGAAATCAGCCTTAGAAAACATTTGAGACTTGCTCAAGTTCTGGAAGCCCGTAAAAGAACAGAGTGAGGATTCCGGTAATCTCTGCAAGACTCAAAGCTCCTACTCTTTCCACCATACTACTTTACCCAACAAATGAGGGCCCTTGCATAAAGACCTGAACTCTTAATCTGTTCTGTTCCTATGAATATTACTATTTGCCTTATACTTAAAATGGTTACCCAAGGATCATGATTAGTTTCTTCCTGCTGGAGCTCCTTCTATTAATTCTCACTGGAGAGAGAAGCACAGTGAAGATACCAACTTTGAAATGGCAAGGGTGAAAAATAAAAGCTCACCCAAGACCCAGTTTCCTTAACTGTGCAATACAGGTAATATCGCACAGGTTATGCCTGGGCATAGGAAAAAGGTAGTAGAGAATGGGTACTCTTAACGTTTATTTACTGTGGTAATTAATAGGCTACTTAGTTGAAAAACTGTACAGACCATACATCAAAATGTAAGCATAATAAATATTATCATATAGAATTCTGGGGCAAGGCCAAGCACAATGGAAACACTGTCCTTACTAAAAATACAAAAGTTAGCTGGGCATGGTGTTGGGTGCCTGTGATCCCAGCTACTGGGGAGGCCGAGGCAGGAGAATGGCTTGAATCTGGGAGGTGGAGATTGCGATGAGCCGAAATCGTGCCACTGCACTCCAGCCTGGGTGACAGAGCAAGACTCCATTTCATAAAAAGAAAAAGAATTTGGTGAGTGTAGTGGGCTGAACGATGATCCTTCAAAAGGTGTGCCTCCCTCCTAATCTCTGGAAACTATAAATGTGACCTTATTTGGAACAAGGGTCTTTGCAGATGTAATTAAGGATCTTGAAAAATGAGATCATCATGGATTATCTGGGTGAACCTTAAATTCAGTTGGAAGGTCCTTGTATGAGGCATATGGAAGAGAAGACAGACACAGAAGAGACAGTGATATGAAAACAGAGGTGAAGATTGGAGAGATGTGGCCACAAGCCAAGGATTTCCAAAGCCACAAGAAGCTGGAAGAGACAAGGAAGGATTCTCACCTAGAGCCTCCAGAGAGAGTGCAGATTTGCCAAGCTATGATTTTGAACTTCTGGACTCCAGAACTATGAGGCAATACATATCTCTTCTTTAAGCCACCCACTTTCTGCTAATTTGTTAGAGCAGCCACAGGAAACTAACACAATCAGTGAAAGGAACTGAGAGCATTTCATTTCCCTCCCAAATAATTAGAAGCTGGCAACCAGACAAATCTCCAAAGTAGGTGGTAACGTGGATGAGATTTCTTTTCAACTCTCTCCAGGCCCAGTTTTTTTTCTACTTTTTCTATATTCCTGATTTCTGTTCACTGTCTCTTCTTCTATCAAAAATCACTCTGCCATGGTCCACTACTTCAAGTAGAAGAAAAGCTTTAAACAGGCCAGCAATAATGTATGCCAGGCCTGCAGCTCTGTCTGAGGTTGATTCCTTAGAAGCAGAGCCTGAGATGGGTATTTTTCCTCAAGTGATTTATTGAGAGAATGACCTCAGGGAAAGAAGCTGGGGAACTAGGATAAGGCAGGTGAAGAAGCTAAACAAAAGATGTCGGTTCCTGTGAAGTTTAACCTCGGCCTGATCCCACCAGAATGAATGGCCTTAGAGTTTTTATTTAATAGATTTTATTTTTGTAAGAGAAGTTTTAGATTCACAGCAAAATCGAGCAAAACGTGTAGAAAGTCTCTATCTACACTCCTGTACATACATGCATAAACTACCCAACTGTCAACATCCTACACCGAAATGGTTCTGTGTTCCCCTTCTCACTCCCTGTGGTTTATACTGACTTGATTCAATGGCCAGCAGCCCTTTGGCTGAGTGATGGCTATCTGAGCAGGCCAAGTGGTCACCACCTGGGATGATCAGATTCTGTCTCATAAGTAAGCATGTCAGCCAAGAGACATAGCTGGAACAATCAACTGGTAACTAGAGTAGAAGTCACCTTCAGAGCATCAGGTCTCAGACAGTACCTGCCTCACATAAATGAAGGACCACCCAGGTGCTCTGATGCCAAATAGCCTTTTACTTCTGGTGCCCATGAGGCTCAGTTGTTTTGTAAAATGTCTTGATAGAAACTCCTAAAAGTTTTATGTTATTTATTTCCACGTGATTTTTGTAATTAATTTTAATTACTTGGGTTCACCTGGTTGGGTCTCTGCATCTTACATCTAAAGGGACTGACTGTATAACATGATAGACCAAATGATTTGCCAAAAAGCATTCAGACATTGTGTGAATGGACAATGAAGGTTAGAAGTCCCAAAATAACCCATTGTTGAAAGAAAGACATTAGTACTCCAGCTTAGAAAACTGGTTGATGGTTGATTCTGCATATAACCCAGAGAGTTTTGGTGGTCAAATTCTTCCAGCCATCATTTCCAATATGCTTATCCATTTTTCATGGCACAAATGTTGATTGAGTGCTTATTTGCCAATTGAGTGCCAGGTTTGAGTTTCAGTCATCAGTATACCCAGGCACAATTAGGTGCTCTCAAGGATGCTAGCAGGAGAGATAAACTACCAAATAATCACCCTGCTGAGTGATTAATTACATGCTGAGACAACTCAGAAGAAGGATTGACCCCTTTGAGGTTATACTGTAAAAGCTGGAGTTAAGGGAAAATGTCCCTCAGGATTGATACAAAGGGTAAGTAGGAGTTTATAAGTGTGAAGGTCATGTGATCAAATTTGGATTTTTTTGCATTGTGAGAACATCATTCTGTGGAGTAGAGGACAGGTCAGGGAGATTCGGAGGAAGCAGAGGTAAGCTAGTATAGTTTGTAGGCATCAGATGACTCTTGCTGATCTGTGTTGGTGGCATTGACCATAATAAAAAGGGAGTGAAAGGAATTCAAGAGTTATTTAAGAGACTAAATCTGCAGAGTTCGGTGATTACCTATTGGGATGAAGGAGAGGGAGGTGTTCAGAATAATTCTCAGGTTTCTGGCCTGTCTGAGAGGAAGAATGGGGACACCTTTTTTTGAGATAGAAAACTGTAAGGAAAATTAGTTTTGGGTGATGGAGATGAGCGATCACCATGATCCTGGATTTCGTCTTGCTCATGTTGACTTTCAGGGGCCTTTGAGTGACATGATTGAGCTAGACCTTAAAGAAGAATTCTTGGCCAGAGATTAAATGTAGTGATGAATTTGTGTGTAGGTGTTATCTGAAACCACAGGCATGCATGGAAAGCTTAGAGAGACAACAGCAAAGACGGTGTCTTTAGAATGCTGATGGTTAATGGTTTCCAAATGAGGATGATCATGCAAATGAGATAGGAATGGAGACAGAAGAGAATTAGGAGGACGCCTATATATCAGTCGTGAAATTAAAAACTAACAGCTAACACACAGAAACATTTTGGATATATTTTCTCATAATAATGATGTTCTGTGTAAATTATTAATATGACATTTTACCATCTGAACAGATAAGAAAACCAAGAATCAGATAATTTAAGTAGTTTTCAGAGTGTCACTCAGCTGTAAGTTGAAAAATCAGAATTTGAACATTACTTTGTTTGATTTAAAAATTTATATTCTTCCTTCTCCTACCATACTACCTGATAAATAAATACAAGAATACCTGCTAGACAAATTGTATAAATTAGACATCCCTAAGAGGAAGGAGAATTTTGGATGGGGAGTGTCAACTATATTTCACATAGCATCTGAGGTTTGAGATGGATCTTAAAAGACAAATAGGATTTAGATAAGGAAACAGCAAATTATGGACCTTGGGCCAAATCCAGCCCACTACCTATTTCTGTATGGTGTATGAACTAAGAGTGCTGTTTTTCATTCTTAAATGTAAAGTGTAAAAAAAGGTTATTAATCGTTCAGCAATATCAGTTGCTCCATTTTGCCTCTTGGTCCACAAAGTTTAAACCATTTATTATTTGATCTTGTATGTAAAAAGCTTGCTGACCTGGATTTAGAGAAATACATGAGGGGTGGGGCCTCTGCTTGGAACAATGCCATCAGCCTATTTCTAAAGGAAGACAATACAGGGAATATTCTGGGGAAAGGAAGTGAACCAGCCTAGGAAAACATGAGAAGATCTATGCACTGTGGTCAAGCTCTAGACTGTCTTTGTTACTAGGCAAAGAAGAGTGGTCAATATTTTGCTACCTAAACATTTGCACAATTATTCCATCAACTAGATTTTGAGGCTCTCCTGAGCAATAATCATTTTTTTTTTCCTACTTGTGTTTCCCTGTAGAGTCTCACACATGGCTGCTCACAGACTATTGGCTCAATCAATGTTAGTTGATAAACAGCCTCACATCATGTAGACAAGCTAGTTAATCATTACCAATGTCCTTTCCTCTTTAATTGTCATACACTGAGTCACAGCCTTCCCTCAAATACATCACTCTCAGGGACAACAAAATGTGTCCTTCAGTTGTAATAACCGGTGGGAGAGTGCAGGAGAGAAACATGTCCCAGCAATTTCTGGTGCCGGATGCGCACCTAATTGCAATATTGACAAGAGAAAAGATGGGCTAATTTGAGAAAGCCAGTGTGATCTTCCAGCTGGATTATGCCAGTTTAAACAAGACAGGCTTGCCTACGTTGGAAATAAGGATGTTCAGTTTGCAGTAAATTCTGTTTGGAGCCCAAAGTTGAGCCCAGGGACCCCAGCAGCATAATCAAGGCCGTGATTGATGAGATGTCAGCGACTGTTAGACACAGCGTGTGATGCATCCAGTCACAGGGGACCTGAGTGTTTGTCATAATGTCACAGCACCTGCTGCTGCTGCTACCTGGGGTACACGAGTGCGTCAGGGAAAGCGGTGCGCCTGACGTGGCCGTCCCTCCCCCAGCGCCCCGCATGTGCTCTGGAGGAAGGCCGCGGGGGCATCTGCAGTCAGGAAAGACAAAATGGAGCCACGCAGGGGAAAGCAGCATGGGGTGGGGGAAGATGGCACGTTCCCAGCGCAGGGAGAGGAAGAACAGGTGCTTCTCCGAGGAAGACTGCCGCTACTCCCCGGGCCCTGGCAGCCTGCCTAGCCGCAGAGCCGTGCGCTTGCCGGCCTCCTGGCAGCGGAGCCTGCGGCGGAACCACCACAGTGAAGCATTCTGTACCCTCGCAGCTGCTCTCCCGAAAACTGCAGGTCCTCCAGGAGGCCGAAATAAACCTACGTGCAACTTGTCTTCCAGGAGAGGAGAAAGTATGTTTCCCGACGCGAAATGATGTTTAAGATCCCCGCCCAAACCCCCAATCCTGCATTTAAGCATCCACTGGACTGCTAACGGGATTGTTCTTAAGCTTGGCATTTGCAAGGCGTAGATTTTTCTGTGTTCTCTCCTCTGCCAAGTTTGCCTCCTCTGAGGCTCTCTGGGGGAGTATTTGCAACTCTGCAGTTCAGTTTGAGGAAAGAAAAGTCCCCAAAGCAATCATGTAGTCTTTAAAATACTCTTATGTAAATCAAGCTAAAGTGTCTCTAAATTCATTAGGGTTACTTGCCCTGGAGGGACCTAGCAAAATTGGCAGAGACATTTTCACTATCTAGACTGTGGTTGTTGACCTTTTCTTCTGTCTTGCTTACACTTTCCTAGGGAGGAGGCAGGAACTCCAGAGAGGCTTATCGGATTGGCAGAAGGACAGCCCCCACTAAAAATGCCTGTTACACACCTTCTGGGAACTGCCCTCCTCTTTCCCCTCCTCCCAGCCCCAGCTGGAATTCCCAAATGTAGCCTAAACCAGCACCAGGCCAGAGAATAAAGGAAATGGAAGCTGCCAATTTCACAGTCATTTCTCAGGCCTGGGTTCGAGGATCTAAACACAGGGGAAGTCAAGCCAGATTGTTGCCATCCTAGCTACTTTTTGGAATTAGGAAGCATGTAAAGATTGACTCCTTTTCTAGCATCCTTCAAAGAGCAGGAAAAGTGGGGCAGTAAGTATTCAGAAGCATCTGCTTTCTGCCTGCACCCTTCTGAGTACCAGAGGGGGCCAGCAGAACAACCTGCCATGGTCCGTAAACACGCAGGGAGGGCTGTGACTTAGGAAGCCACATTGGCAGCTGAGACTCCCAAGGATGAAGATGGGCATTCACCGAAAATCTGTTTTTGTGTTTCTTCCAGTACTGTTATTTTTTTAAGGTATAACTTAATAAAATGTATTTTTTTTCAAATACCTGCTTTATCATTACCGATGTATGGATTTTGACAGGTAAGTACACCCACGGAACCCACCACCCATCAAGAAACAGAACTTAGGCTAGGCACAGTGGCTCACACCTGTAATCTCAGCACTTTGGGAGGCCGAGGCAGGAGGATCACCTGAGGTCAGGGGTTTGAGACAAGCCTAGCCAACATATAGTGAAACCCTGTTTCGACTAAAAAAAAATTTAAAAATTAGCTAGGGGTGTTGGTGCACGCCCGTAGTCCCAGCTACTTGGAAAGCTGAGGCAGGAGAATCACTTGAACACGGCAGGTGGAGATTGCAGTGAGCTATGATTGAGCCACTGCACTCCAGCTTGGGCGACAGAGCAAGACTCTGTCTCTCAAAAAAAAAACAAAAAACAAAACAAAACAAACCAACAGATCTTGTTCATCACTGCAACAAATTCCCTTGTGCCCTTTGCTTCAGTCTTCCACTCATCAGAGGAAGCCTCTGATGTATCTGCTTTCTGTCATTACAGAGCAGTTTGCATTTTCTAATGTCATATTAATGAAACTACACAGTATGTAGTTTTTTTCTGGCTTTGTTGGCTCAGAACGCAGTTTTTGAAGGTCACCCATATAGGAACATATATCCAGAGCACCTATATGTAGTTTGTTTCATTTTATTTGGTGATTAACATTTCACGATATGGTTATACCACTATTTGTTTATGCATTCATCTGTTGATAGACATTTGGGTTGTTTATTGGTTTGTGGCTGTTATGAATAAAGTTGCAATAAATATTCTTTTAGATTTATCTGGATGGATATATCTTTTCAATCCTTTTGGATAAATACGTAGGAGTGAAATTGATGGGTCATAGGATAGGTGAATGAATTTAACATTTTTAGGAACTGCCAAACAATTTAGCAGTGTTTGCCCCGTTTATCATTCCCTCACAGCAGTATTTGAGAGTTCCAGCTGCTCCACATCTTGTCCAATTACAGTATTGGTATTGCTAGTCTTGTTTGCTTTAGCCATTGTAGTAGGTTAGAAGTAGTATCTCATTTCAGCCAAACTTTTTCAAAGCAGTCGTTTTCCTGGGGACCTATTGCTGAATTCTAGCAGACATTTAGCTGGGCTATGAAATGAAGAATTACAATTGGAAGAAGGTTTATATTTAGAGTCAGTCTGCATATTTCAATTTTTAAAAGAAAATCTTTAAGCAGCAATTTGAGTTTAATATTTCTCCCCAGAAGTCTAGTTTCTTCAACAGCTGTTTATAAATATTTACCTTCACATTTTTAATTACAACAATGTATATAGCACAAATACCAGGTGCATTAAAGTATAAATATTCAACACAGAGGTTTCCAGTTGTTTCTATGTAGGACACAGAGGCCTGTCTTCAGTACAGGTCTATGGAAGGCTTTCTAGTAATAAAGGTGGATAAGAACTGATGCCCTGGAGAATAAGCTTCCCTGGTTTGGGTCTTTTATTTGCTAGGGGTATGATTTAAGGCAAGTTATTTTGCCTCTGTAATGTACCATAATCACTGATATGATTTGGTTGTGTCCCCACCCAAATCTCATCTTGAATTGTAATCCCTATAATTCCCATGTGTCATAGGAGTGACCCGGTGGGAACTGATCAGATCATGGGGACGGTTTCCCGCATGCTGTTCTCGAGGTAGTGAGTGAGATCTCAGGAGATCTGATGGTTTTGTAAGCATGTGGTATTTCCCCTGCTTGGACTCAGTTTCTTTCCTGCCATGGTCCTGTGAAGGAGGTGCCTGCTTTTGCTTCATCTTCCGCCATGGTTGTAAGTTTCCTGAAGCCTTTCTAGCCATGCAGAACTGTGAATCAATCAAAACTCTTTTCTTTATAAATTACCGAGTCTCAGGTATTGCAGCATGAGAACGGACTAATCAAACATCTTCCTTCATAAACTGGGATAATAATAAATGTACCTCCTGGTCATGCATCTAAAACTTGAAACTACTGTCTGGCACATGGGAAATGCATAATAAATGCAAAAACATTTAAAAAATCTAATTTTTATAAGCGATTTTCCCTGTCTCACTGTCCTTTTCTCCATTCAACATAACTGCAGGGCTGATCTGGCATCTCAAGGCCACCCGGAATAAAGTGCTGAGTCTAAGGGTCATTGGCAGCTGCTGTGTGGCATGATTCCAAGCTTCTAAGGAAATTTTCAGGAGAAATATATCTAAGATGCAACCTGTAGGGATTTGTGTAGCCTTTGACATTTCATGCACACTTATGTGAAGTTCCTGAAATTAATTGTGTACAAAATTCATAGGAATTTTTTTCTTTTCTTTTCATTTCTTTTTACCTGTAGCTTGCAGCAGATTCTCCAAGGAGACTGGGATCTCAGGGTCTTTTTGGATCCACTGCAAAAGAAGGTAGGACCATTGAGGGTATGGAACAGATTTTGGGAAAAGAGAATATTAGGATTGAGCTTCAGTTCTGCAACTTATCAACTGATTGTCTCTCACCAACTTACTCAATTACTCTAAGTCTCAGTTTCCATATCTTTAAAGTTGACATCATAGTATTTTGTATCTCACAGGGTTACTGAGAAGAATAAGAATATAACATGGGCCAGGCACCGTGGTTCATGCCTGTAATCCCAGCACTTTGGAAGGCTGAGGTAGGCAGATCGCCTGAGGTCAGGAGTTCAAGACCAGCCTGGCTAACATGGTGAAACCTCATTTCTACTAAAAATATAAAAAAGTTAGCCAGGCATGGTGGCACACGCCTGTAGTCCCGCTACTCGGGGGCTGAGGCAGGAGAACCGGGAGGCAGAGGTTGTGGTGGCACACGCCTGTGGTCCCAGCTACGTGGGGGCAGAGGCAGGAGAACCTGGGAGGCGGAGGTTGCAGTGAGCCAAGATCACGCCACTGCATTCCAGCCTGGGTGACAGAGCAAGACTCCATCTCAAAAAAAAAAAAAAGATGATATTATTGACATCCAGGAACTGGAACCTAGTAAGTGCCAAACAAATGTTACTTTGTTAGTTCCCTTCCCTTTCATGGATCCAGATTATAGAAAGCAGGATTATCCTCTGTTAAATTGCAAATGACTTTGGGAAAGATAATAAATTAATTAGCCATTCTCACCTTAGTATGAATGTATCAAATCTTTTCTTTAAAACAGAATTCTTGCATAAAATATTAACAGACCACAGAAGAGAAAATATACGAAGGCAAAATTATTTCTATTTAATTAGAGAATTCCCTTAAACAATAATATTAAATTAATGGATAAATTCAAGACCTTTCTTTTGTATTTCTGTGTCTCTCTGTATCTCTAAAATCTCTATTCATAACTATAGCAGCCCAAATATATATATTTTTAGATATCAGAGTCCTCTTTTCTTTTAACTCAAGAGTCAGCAAACTATGGCCCACTGTCTAAATCCAACATATGGCCCATTTTTATAAATAAAGTTTTATTGGAATGCATACAGCCCCATTTGTTTATATATTGTCTGTAGCTGCTTTTGTACCAAAACACAGGGTTGAATAGCTTGACAGAGACCACACAATTAGCAAAGCCTAAAGTTCTTACTGTGTGGCCTTTTACAGAAAATGTTTGACTCCTGATTTAAACTCTCACCTAGTGCCCTCTTGACACTTTGGGGATATGTGGAAAGCAAGAGGAGTTAGATGGCATAGAAACATGGCAGGAAGGTTGGAAAGAGGCTATGATTCCCAATGCCAATAAATCTGAGTTCAGGAACAATCATTTCATTATGACTTACCAATTGATCACCCTTCTGTTTATTTAGGACTTTAAGATCTTACCAAAATTTATGTCCTTTATAAAATCAAAAATAAGCCAGACTAGTAGGATCAAAAGAAACGCTATATAGACAGTGGGTTTTAGAGAATTTTTTCTAATCTTTTATTTTTTATATTTATATTTTATATACATTTTCTAAAAGAGTTTGAGAACTATAAATCAGGAACTGAATATTAAAAAAGATAAACATGCCTACATAAACTACGTGAAAGGAACAGAATGGAAGAATTTAAAGAGTAAAAACCTGAAGAAATTAAACTTCAGTAATTTGAGGTGAACACATCTATTAAGGGACTGCGATACAGTGATAATTAAATCACCAGCAAAAAATAAATAAATAAACAAAGTATTTTTGTGATGGAAAGAAAGTATTAGGGGAGGGAGAATTAGCATAAATTTAAAAAATATTATGGCCAAGGAATTTTTAGATCTTCCATTCAAAATAATATTTCTTTTTTATTTTTTCTCCAACATAGAGACATTTTTATTCAATTTTTTTGAAGCCATTGTTTTCAGAAGAGCTGCCCACATAAAAAGCAATCATCCATCTCATGGATGAGTGTGGAAAAAGAAGGAATTTAGGAAAAATAAGCACAGTGAGGAGGGAAAGAGTTGTAGAGGGAATTGAGTTTTGCACGGGTAAATCTGCCAATTACAGCACAGCTGGCTTAGGACAAAGGACAATCGATGGAGAGATGATGGAATCCAGAGAAAACCTTCTAAAACCACATTTGTGAGAACAAAGCTTACTAAGGGGATGGACTAATGTCAGAAGTTCCAAGACT